TCTGCTAGATACCGAGACAATTTTCTTAGAAGAAACATATAAGCACTCTGTAATAGCCCATTTCAAAGACTGATAATAAAATGTCCAGGCCATAACAGTATAATAAATGTATCATTAACTTTTTTTAGTTAACAAACATTTAAGATGAAAGAAAAAGTGTTTTTGTTTTTTTCATTTTGATTTTCTGTAATTAACTGCAAAGTTTTTAAAGCCTTAGCAAATTTTAGTAATAGTCCAGTGAATGACCCTATTAATCTAAAGGCTAAAGTGGTTGAAGCCTAAATAATCATCTTGTATGTCTTTATATCTTGAGTAGTAAAACAGAATAAAGTTCTACAACTTGGAATATTTTAAATAATAAACAACAAACTCCTAGCTTTAGCTATGCCTGGACTGGTGAAAACTTGAGTGATAGTACTTGTTAATACAGTTCATCATCTCCCTCTCTTTTCTCCTCTTAAAAGAATATAACATTTTTCAAATTCTAAAAGAATATGATATATTAAGCAAATGTAAGAACCTAACCTATATGTATATGTATATAGGGTATATGCATATTATATATAGGTTTTATGTATATGTATATGCATATGTATATGTATATAGGTTAGGTTCTTACATTTGCTTAATATATCATATTTATATATATTATTAATATGTATATATTAAGAATATATTTTTAATATATCATATTAATATATCATATTATTTTATATAGTCAGTACATTATATTCTTTTACATATAAAATATATATGTATTCTCTATATACATATCTGAAACAAATTCAGTGACAAAATTGATAGCAATTTCTCACTTTAAAAATTCACATTTCTGAAGAGGGTAAAGTAGATATTTCCATACTGAATTTCTAGTAATACTAAGATTTATGCTTACTTTATTTGATGTAATCATAATCCAGCAGATAATCAATATATTTCAATCTTACAACTCCCACTCATCCAAACCTTGACAAAAATATTCCATTTTGTTTATAACAGATAATAATATTTTCTGGTCAACAATACACTTACTACAGAATATATCCATGAAAATAGGACCTGGGCATTATCTTTCCATTAAGTTTGGTTTCCTTGTTATTGTTTAATGTTAACTTTCTTTTTCAGAAGTCTCATCTGAATAGATGTTTAATATTAGCAGTTTTTTTAAAAATATGTCCTTTACCCCATCTTTCTAGTTATACTTCTCATCTGGACCCGAGTTGGTAATACATTTTCTTGTTATTTTTCTGTGAGACAGTGTCCTGAATCTGTCGGCAGTCCATAAGTTATTTCTATATATGACATAATTAAGAGAGAGCTCCAAGACATCAGCAGGTATAAACTCAGTTTTGTAAGATCAATCCATTACTATCTAAAAACTATAAATAGAGGAGAGTAGATGAGATGCATTTTTTTTTCCATTGCAGTGGACGAGAGCAAGGCTAACAGAACTTGTAAAGTATTTGATCATGTATGTTGAGACCAAGAATGTGTCATTAATGCAGTCTTACCAAAATGAACTGTCTCCTGTATATGTTACCAAAAGGATACATACTAATAAGAAAAAATATATATTAAAGAATCATGGGAGACCTCAAAGTAAAATTACTCTCTCCAGTTACATAATATTTTCTAAAAGCATAATTTTGATTTTTTATAAACTTAGAATCCTTTATTAATTCAGTTTTTCTCAAATTTAATTTATATATTACAATTTCATTTGACTAACTACTTTTTAATTCCGTTAACATTTTCACCTGAACTCAAGCCTGGAAAATAATTCTGAATGAACATTAAGAATGAAGTTGATGTGAAAACAGACAAATAACAGAATCCAAAACAAAACCTACAATGAATTCTGTATTTCAGAAGTAAAGAATCCTTTTCATAAAGGAAACGAAATATTTTCCTCCAGGGAAAATAACAGTGTTTCAATGAAAGATACTAGTAGATTTCACTAGCATAAATATAAATGGAAATGAGATAAAGAGGTAATGTAAAAATCATAGTGCATGGTCATGATATTAAGAAAAGTCTCATGCCTTAATATTTAGGAAGGCAGGTATAGATAGATGATCGTGTTGAAGTTTATGTATTTTTTTAATTTAAGATCATATTCTTCCAATTTGGTGGCAGTTTTCAGTTTGCATGTGATAGAATAAATATTGTTTTTGTCTAATGTTACAAAGAAAAGCAGTTTCACATACCCCAGACTTTTTGAGAAAGACATTAGGATAATGATCAGTAACCTCTACATAAATGTTTTATGACTGTTGACCTGGCAGTGAGCAGATTATAACCACAGGATTCTGGAAGAAGGAAGGTAGAAAATATTCCCTTAGAGAAACAAATGCTTCAATCATCTCTACTGATAAGTGTACTCTTCAAGTATTTCCTGAGTACTTACTGTGTTTTACATTTATGCTAGTGGTGAGTGTACAGTGGAGGAAAGGTACTGCCACTCTGTCAAGAACAGGCAATGGATCGAACATGATATTGGGGAAACCGCCTTCTCCAGGGGAATGATGGAACTTGAAATTCACACCAGGCCTTCAGAAATCCCATTTGCATTCCTTGGCAGTGCACCAACTTGACTCCATCTAAACAATGGTCTTCTCTTTAACTCCTGTTCCTCTTTTGTGATATTAATTCATTTATTTTTTTAATATATGTCAGCATACTTCTGTTGGAAGATGAGCTCTTTTAATTTTGGAGCTCATTTTAATTTGTTTCCACGTTACAACTCCCTGACATTCTTAGATAATTATAATGGTTGTTAAAAATATATATATGTATTGGCTAATTGATGACATTTCAGACATAAAGCCCTGAACAAGTTTGAACTAGTCACACCAACAAACTGAACTGATAAAAATGCCTGCCTCAGAAAACAAAAAATAGCACAGAAAACAGGCCACAGAATTTACTCATTAAGGATCTTCTAGAGTCAAAGTATACCATCTTCTTGTGTATCAATTGTCTTTATTAGCATGCAAATCAGAGATAGAGAGTAAAAGTGTCTCATCACTTAAAGCTCTGACTCCTAAAAAAATGATCCTGAGTGGACTATATTTAAAATATAAAATAGCAGCAAAGAAGAAAACATGTCTGGCCATACCATATGTGAAGGAAATGTTTAACATTAAAGTTAAGACAATAAAATTTAAATTTCCCATGAAATGAACTCTAGAGGAGACAACAAATAATTTTCAATCTTCATGAAATGACTTGTCTCATGAAAAAGAAGTGTTGCTAACACTAGTTATCATTTGAGTGATTCCACAAAGAATTTCTGACTAAAAATTCTTAGTTTTTCTTATGTCATAGAATACATAGTCACCATTTATCAAATATCTATTTAAAAGAATAAATGAACATATATTAAGTTTAAAAATAGGTAATCAAGAAAATGGTTTTGCTTATTTTTCTGAATTCACCTGATGTGTACTTGGGATACTGAATATGAAAATGTGACATCAATAATTCTAGCTTCCTATAAAACACATTTGCTATTTGCAAGAGTAACGATTTCAGAAAGCAAAAATTATTAGTATGATGATTTAAAAAAATGAATAGAGCTTGGGTAGCTTCTCTGCTTTTTACCTGAAACTTCTCATTTACTTTGAAGGAACAGGGAGTGGGGAGACTGAACTCGTGGACCTCTTTACCAACTCTCACAACGATGATGAATAGGGAAAAAAATTCAAAGTTTTGGCCACTATCATACTATTTACTGTTCATTCTCCTCATACCTTGGTTTAAAATGCAGGACAGGTATACAAAAGCTAGCAAGGGTGGGTGGAAAGCACTCAATGAGTGAATAAGCTGTGAAATAATATGATAAGAATCCTGATTTAGAAAATCATTTTTTAAAGTTATGTATATTATAATCACATGTAAAATATTTTCAATGGCTTGAGATAAATGGGATCAGAATTCTGTAATCATTCAATTATATTAAGTCCCTTTAGTAGCTAGAGGCAAATTGGATTTGCTGATTGATTGATCGATTGATTGTCTACGGCATTTGCATCAGCCAAGATCTAGTTGGGAAAATAGAGAGCACATTAGTTGTTTAAACAGAGATAATTTAACATGGGGAATTGTTAATTATTGGAAAACTAAAGGTACAAATAAAAAGTAAGAAAAGGAAAGAACGAGAAAGAACACTGATGTAGCCTAGTAATGAGAAATTGTGAGAAAAACTAGAATACCTGTACAGCTTAGGAAACAAAAGGAAGGAGTTCGGGGTTATCAGAAACTAAAAATCTGGCAGAGAGCCCCATGGAACTGGGACTCAGTCTTCTACAGAAAGGAAACTGGCGACTCTTGGTTTCTCCAAGGGAAAGTGATGAGACTGATTCCAGGAATGCAAAAAGGAAACCAAGAAACTGGCAATGCAACCAGGAAATGGCTGCTGCCAGGATGAAGTGCCATTGCAGCGGCAACCCTGAAAGGACCAGACTGCCAAGCAGGGCGCAGTAGTTCCCCCTCCCCTGCCATTCGGCCTCCCTCTAGCGTGCCCTACTGGCCAAACTTAAGAAGCCGGAGAGCAGAGCGGATATGCAGAGTGCTGGGACCAGCCCAGGAATCACAAAGGTGGTGGGTTTGGAGCTGAAAGATAACAGCTAAAAAACTGGCACTGATGTTTAATTAAGGAAATTAAGATGTGATAACTGATAAGCATTCTTTTCTAAATTGTTATTCTGTGAAAAAACAAGCTGAGGTTCTGACTCCAGAAATAGCGCTGAGCCTGTCCAGAGGCAAGGTGGTTGGGGACTTGTGAGAGGAACAGAAGAGATGAAAATCTTCGAAGCACAATTTTGTCATCTGATCTCCTTTTTTGAGTCTCCTTTGGAAAGAATCACCTCCTCGGTGATTCAGTGACATTGTCTATAAAACTGCACTGAGTTTTTACCCTACTCTACGCTATATATAAATATAAGCCAAAACCACACAGGACCTGGCTATATTTGGTATGCCTCATCTATCATGGATAGTTAATTTGTGCATTCATCTTTTAAAACTAATAATGAATTTCTAAAACCTTTTAAACGGGCTTAAGTTTTATAATCCATTTACTGAACATGCCTGCAATGAAAAATTAATTATTAAACAAGAGCCTTGGGAGGACATCAGCGGCCTTGTCACCCACGCACTTGATTGATAACATGTCAGTTTCCAGACCACGGAGGGCGCTGACAACTCTCAAATTTAAACCTGGAAGGGTAATGCTAAGCATGTCATGGCATAAGTCACATTTTAAAATTATTTTTTATTAAATGTTAGATAGAATAAATTCATCCATGCCTCTCAAACTCAGCCTGATTAAATAAGCTGGCACTCTTTCAAATGTAAAGCATGGTTATGGCTTCTCAAGGGCATCCAAAACACTGAAGCATAAGACACGGTAAATACAAAAGGCAAAAGAGGTGGACAGTGATATATTCACAAGCACCATGGGTGAAGTGAGGTTTTTGAAAATGCTGAGGCTAACAAAACAAGGGCAGCACAGTACCCAAATGGTAAATGCACCTGCAGTGAGAGACTCTGCTTGAGTGCTGGTGCATAAAAGTGTCCACCACTAAGGGGAAAAAACAACAATAACCACAACAAAACCCTAAGAAACAGAAAGGAACAGCTGTAACCAATTTTCAAACCCTAAGTTTTGGGGTTGGGTTAGGAAGTTAAAATTGTTCAATATTTGTGTCAGTTCTACCCTTTAATTTCACAAAGTTAACATGATTTTCTGTGACTATAAAAAAAGAAAACATCTGTTATAGTGTGTCTTCCTGTAGCAAATACTACTGCTTCTTGAACTCTTCTTCTTTCGGGAAAAGCTCAATCTTATTCTATAAAATGATTGAAATATTATGTATATCAAATATACTCCAGCAGTTCAGAGAGAACATATCATCTGTATTATTGCTGTCCAAAAATCCTCTGATATACTGAATTCAAATTAAAAGAACCTAAATGAAGAAAACAATAATTTACTTAGACCCAACTGGGTCACAATATTTGAAAAATGATACAGATTATTTTTACTATATATTATAGACAGTGGATTTACTTCATTTTTTTTTTCAATAATTGTTTGCAATTAACTAGGCTAATGGGCTAAACTCTACAGAAGGGAAATATATATGAACAGCACTGCCTAGTCTTGCAGAGCTTTGTATTTAATGGGAAGATACAATAAAGGAAAATGTTCTGTGTTATCTGAGAGGCACAAGAAAAGTGCTATATAAACTGAAGCTTGGGTTCTCAGAGATTTCATTAAGAGAGTATCATATCAGCTGGACATTTTATTGAATGTTACTATTTTTCCAGGTAGTTGGAGTACATTGGTGAGTAGTCACAGCTCTCTGCCCTTGTGAAGTTTGTATTCAAGTGAGTACAGGCCAATAATATTCAATACACAGTAATAAATACGTTATGTGACATGTTAGAATATTCATGCTAAGAACAAAAGAAAAATTACACTGGAGAGTTGGGAATCTGAATACTTCATGCTGTGAATGAGTGATTACAGTTTTAATTAGGGTGAGTGAGATGAGCCTCATTGAGAAAGAGATATTTGAAAAAAGATTCTACTACATTCTTTGAACTTTTAAACTAAATAAATTTAACTGTTAAAGGAATTAAGTAACTTGACATGTTAAGAATTTTAATAAGCATTGCTAGTGTGAGAGTGTTTTAAGAAAGGAAATTGCATCAAAATTATAAATTACGTTTATGTTTATGCTCAGAACCTAGCACCAAACTGACATAGAGTTAGCACACAAAAATGTTTACTGAATAAATGTACAAGTAAACTGATAGTATCATGAAATCCTCGAATGAATGTATCTAAATGTGAATAGTCCTATTTAGCTAGTAAGTGTCTGGTTTCTTGCAGAATCATGAAAAAAAAAAACTCAAAAAGTTAAGACCTTATTCCAATCGGAAAGGTAAAGGATTTTATAGAAAATTCAGTATAGATTTGAAAACTAAGAATTTAGCATCAAGGAAGAAAAGAAAAGAGAAAAAAGAATTGTTGACAGGAATAGAACTATGCTTTGAAGTAGTGGCTAAGTTTGATTAGATCTGAAAGACATTGGAGATGTGGGAGGTGATTATTAGACTCCTAAATATTCCTTTCAAGAGCTAATACAGACTTAATGTAGGATCATTATATTGGAACTTGAAAACTGGGCTATATCCAAAAGAAATGTATCCATTCACTCACTGAATCTTTTATTTAGGGAGTGTGTTAGTTCATTTGCATTCCTATAAAGGAATACCTGAGGCTGGGTAATCCGTAAAGAAAAGAGGTTTATCTGGCTCATGGTTCTACAGACTGCATAGGAAGCATGGTCTGACATCTATGTCTGGTGAGGCCTCAGGGAACTTACAATTATAGCAGAAGGTAAAGGGAACCCAGCATATCACATGACAAAAGCAAAAGCAAGAGAGGGAGGGAGAAGGTGTCAGGATCTTTTAAGCAACCAAATCCTATGTGAACTCACAGAGAGAGAACTCACTCATTACCAGGAGGACAGCACCAAATCATCCATGAAGGATGCACTCCCGTGAGCCAGACACCTCCCATTAGGCTGATCACCAACATTGGAGGTCGTATTTCAACATGAGATTTAGAGGGAACAAAGCAACCAAACCATATCAGAAAGAAAAGAAAGAAAAAAGTAAAAATTTGGGGCCAGGTTACATGCAACACTAGAATAGAGTGAGGATGAAACCTGTCAGTATTTTTTTTTTAATTCTCATAGCACTCACAATGCAATTATAAAGACATATAGGCACAAATTGTGATTATTGAAATTATACAATGAGAGTGCAAAGTGATATGAGAAATCTTAACATGAAGAGTTATCTAAATTGGACACCCATAGAGGCCTTCAGGGTAAGTAATAATTAATCCAGTTTAGATAGTGGCAGTAGTGTCAAGTGAGAAGAGAATGTGCCAGGGCCCAAGGGACAAATCAAGGAGCTTAGAAGAGGGTAGGAATAGCAAAGAGATGATAATCTAGAGATTGCTGATTTCAGGAGTTCTTGGAACTGAAGAAAAATAATAGCAATGTGTGAACCAATAGAGTTGTTCTTTGGGAAACTGCATAAATGGGTCTTCAACTACCACACATGCCAATAACTAGTAGTTTTAAAATATCTATCTATAGCTCTGCTCACTCTTCTGAGTTCTGTACTCCTACAATCTACTGCCTTATTATGATTCCAACCTGTGTGTGTATATATCACTCGGGTCAATATATTCCCAAACGAAACCTACACATATCCCTTACTTCTTCAAACTTCCTCTTCCCCTTTTTACTTAGTTGGTGAAAGAAACCGAGTTATCATCTCAGCAGTTGCCAAAAGAAAAGAAAACATAATTCAGGCATCCTTGACTTCTCCCTCTTCCTCATAGTTAGCCAGGTCCACTTCTACTCACACATTACTGCCAGTGGTCTCTGCAATGTCTCTTATAACCAGCCCTTATACTCAATTTTTATCAGGTTAGCTTCCCATCAATCTTTGACTCAGACTGTTCTAATTCAATTCTAATTGTTCTTCTGTCCTTTATTCCTTGTTGCTCTTCAATTCAGTCTTTCTACTGCTGCCCACGTGGTCTCTATACAATGAAAGAGCCACAGTGTCATATTAATAAGGCTCAATTAAAAAAATTAAAGAGCAACAAAATACTTCAATCAATTGTTACCAACTACAAATATAACCCAGGTAAACCATAAACTCCTTTGAAAGTGTCAGAGTCCTTTGCCATCAAAATCAGCCTTCTGTCCATCCTGTAGTAATAGCCATTTCCCCAGCCAATCATCCTTTAGAACATCTTGCTTCCCAAGCAAACTGGGTTCTAACCTAATCCTCTACCTTTGCTCAGATGGTAGCTGTTATTCATTTGTACTCAGTCTCATAAACATATACTTACCCTTCAAGGCCCAGTTCAAATGTCATTTAATCTCTAAATTCATTTAATTCAACCTGAAATGTCAGGCAGGCAAAGTTGAGATACAGGTTTCAGTCAGCACCAGATAGTACAAATACTGATAAGAGATGACAGCAGAAAAGAAAGAGCGTATTAAAAAAGAAGCGAAAGAAGAGGACCAAACCCAATTATAGTTCTAAGGACTATACTTCAAGGTTCTACGTTCTTTGAACTTTTAAACTAAATATAATTAGGTTTATATAGTTAAACTAAATATATTTAAACTATTCAACGACTAAGTTTTTATAGAGTTAAACTAAATCCATTTAACTGTTAAGGGAGTAAGTAAGTTGACATCATTCCTATTCTTCAATCATGTTGCTGGGAAAATAAATTTCACAAATAATAGAATCAACATTTCTTTGTGCAGAAAGAAACTAATACCATTCTTAATTTCTATCCATGCTAAGAAGTAGAGTTCTGGATTAATTCATCACCAAGTGATTATGTTCACAGTACTTTTAAATGGTGTAAAGCTAAGAAACAAATATCAAAATATTTTCTTCAGTTTTAAAATATTACTTTCCTGATACTTTTAAAGTGCTAAAGTCATCTATAGAAAATCTTTACTTGGAATTTTTGACTTGCATTTATCGAATACTTACTATGGGCCTATAAGTTTTTTAAGCAGCTATTTACAAAACGATAGATGAGGAATAGCAATTACAACTACTCACATTTCACAAAAGACTAAACCAAGACTTAGAAAGGCAAACTATCTTGCCAAAGTCACATAGCTAATAAGTGCAATGCACAAATAAGTGTGTCTGATTCAAATGCTTATTTTCTAACTAGAGAGCAGATAAGCTTGTTTACATAACCACTTTCATAAATAAAAGTAGAGATTTGATGCTTGGATTAAGATTCAAATATAGTTATTGTGCTTCTATTGACCACATTGTTTAGTATTTAATATAAAACAGCAAACTGATTTTAAAACTGAATTCAACACTTAAAAATTGTGCCTTAAAAGTTTTCAGAATTATGTTCTTGAAAATGATGTCACCAGTTGTAAAGGGGTGAGAATAGGGAGCTATGTCATGCTGTAGGGAATCCAAGTTTTAGTTTGTTACTTTCTCACTCCTTAGAAAACAAGGAGAGAAATCCCAATATGGGAAAAGCAGTGGCTTGTTCCCTGGCTGGCATGGTCTGAGAATGCTCTTGGTACAGCATTCTAAGTACCTAGGAGAGAATGTCAATCCCCTTGGTTTAATTAGGACCAGTGTTGTTTGGCTGTGACTGAAAGACAGAGAGAGGGCAACATGGGATCTAAGAAACAGCAGGAACAGACAGGGCTGTGTACTGTTAGTGGGGCAGAGGGGACAGCAGAGTCCCCCTTGGTAACAGTGAAACCCAGGTACTCTGCTTAAGAACAGAACCTTGAGGAGGCCATCTTTCTCACTCCCAAACTTGGATGCAATTGATGTATTTGGCTTCTTTAGCTTTTACTTCTTACTTGCCTTGTTTTAATTTCTACCAGTACAGGTAACTACACCAGAGAAATCTTACAAGAATTTAGTCACAGTCAGGAAGATTTTTCAGCTTATTGGTGTTTCCTCACAGTTTTTATCCAAAAATGTAGGTTTCCACTGTATTGTATCATTCGTTAAATATTTATCATGTGAAATAATGCTAAGAAATGTACTCCTTGTTCCCAGAAACAGTTACAACCACACTAGTTATATAAGAAGTGAGCTAGTTAGATTCTCTTGTAGGATGTCTTTATCTTCAGATTTCCTTGGGGTAAAAATTTTAAAGGATTCAAAATATTTGGTTTTATGTAAAGCCACATCATTAATTGTTAAAATATAGAAGGCAGAGTAATTATTAAGAAAAAAATTTATTAAAAATTAATATGCTATGTCAATAACCTCATTATTAAACAGATATTTACTAAGTATTTTAAAGCTGTTTTATAACTTCATAAGCTAGTCAATAACTTCCTAATTAAACTCAAATTTTAAAATAGACACAATAAAGTTCTCAGAAAGTATATTAAAATGCTTTTGCTTACAATCTAAGCATATACATGATATTATAATTTATACTGTTAGAATGGTAATCAAATATGTTCAAGGCTGAATTTTTAATGTATTAAATCTGTCCTAAAGGTCACTATTCTGTTTTAAAGTTAATTTTACAATTAATCAAGAGTCTAAGAATTCAATCTTTGCATTTTTCATTTCCCTTTTTTAAGAAGCTAAAAATCGTCACCAATTTTTAAAAATCAATAATGATCTCTGTTTTGTTTTCAAACAGGACTAGTGATATGCTAAATCTAATTACTCAGAACTTCACTTTCACCAAAAAAAAGTTATCCTTCCTGAGAATTTAATCTTCTATGAACTTCTTTTTTACTGTATATTTGTCACCCAACTCTGCTTTTAATTATGTTTTATTTTGCTATTTTTGTCTCTAATTTAAAATATCATAAATTGTATTCAAAATGGGACATATTGTTCAGTCTATTAATTACCAGCCTATCTGATCTAGTTCTTTTATTTTCTAGCTCTTTAATACCAATTACTAGTTTTTTTTATTTTCAGCCATCTATGTCTTGGGCCTTTCTGTACTCTCTGTGTGTACATGGAGCCTGTTTTGTTTGTTTGTTGTTAACGTTAAATATAGAAATCAAATTTAGACAGAGATGATTTTAATAGAGCCATTAATTGGTTTATGAAACTACCTTGACCTTTACCAGACCCATTCTTCTCAGTCTCCCAATCAAACTGATTAACCTGGTTTATTTAAGGAGTTTTCTCACAATTTTAAGTGTATACACATACACATACATGGTAAGTGTATGATTTAGAAATCCATTGTACAGTGCAAATATACTAATGAAAGTATTAAGTTATATGTTAAAAGCAACCTTACAAATAACTTCCTTGCAACAAATACCTTATCTGATTACTAAAAAGCCATTTAAAAAAAAAATACTCTGGCCCTTTGCATTGGGCTATGAGCAACTTTAAGTAATGGTAAGAAAGAAAGAAAAAAAAAAAATATATATATATATATATATCCTTATTCCACAGTATGTTTACTATTAACATGCATTGTTATCACATTGTTTTAAGGAATTATAACGACACAAGTTTACTTTTATATTTCACTCTTTTATTCTATGTGAGGATATCTACACAAGATATGTTTCTTAATATTAATCAGCCCTTGATGGATATACATATTATTAAATATATATAGCATTTCTGGACTCGGAATACACCTGGAAACATCACATCCAACAACTTAAATGAAGATGAAAAGAGAAGCAACATAATATGAAGCAGGAACTTTTATTACTTCATGCACTGCCAAAAAGTCTGTCCCCATTGCAAAATTAGTCATGATACACTCAAGATGTTTTACTCTCTAGTCTATTCATTATAACTACAAAATTAAATAACACTTTACAAGAACTCTTTTAATGATTGCTACTCATTATTAGAGATAGCTTAGAAGGAAAGAGCTATTTTATTTTTAAAAATAGTCTCTTTAAAAGGTATATCTGTCACGAATTCTCTGTTCTGCTAGTCTCTAGGGAAGGCAGATGGATGTGCCCGTTCCCATGTGCAGGGGAAATGCAACAGACCTGACCGAGCCTCTGATAAATCTTCTCTATAGTTCCTTTAGTTTTGATGAAGTTCTTTGAGAAACTGAGAAGAGAAAAATGCCTGTGAAAAACATCCCTATTCTGTAGTGTGGTGTTATCACGGCCCTGATTTATTTACTAGAAGTGATTTGGTCACAGGGGTAAAAATTAACTTTTTTTCCTTTGCTTTTTATTTGCTTAGTGCAAACATACGGTTAAAAGCCTAACTAGATTGAAAGACTCTTCACAATATTATATATTAATTATCAGATTCCTTTAAAATATTCCCACAAAATATTGGCTTCTTAAATTTTTTAAAAAAGAAATTTTAGCATGCATTTTTGTTATAATATATTTCAAAATAAATATGTTTTAAAAATTTGGCAGTAAGCAATACAGTGTGGGTTTCCACAGAGTCCAGGTTGGAATCCAAATTTTTTCACTTGGGAAAATGTGCAAATTTGGAAATGTTTCTTGAATTGTGTTTCAACTTTCTTAGCAGAAAGCAGATAAAGAAGTAGCATCAAATTCATGGGAACTGGGGAATGATTAAATGAGATATTTTATTTAAGCCTCTTGTTACTTCTGACAAATAATAATACATAAATGCGTTAGCCATTATTATCAGCATTGTCCAACAAATCTTTGAATTTTTCTCTAAGTTTAAAATCTAAGGGAGAAAAGGAGACGATTTTGAAGGGGTCTACCCAGCAATAAATATACTTTTCCAAATTATTTTGGGATCTTTTTCCTCCTTTCTGTAATTCAGCTGATATAAAAGTTAAGTATCCTTTGCAAAGAGGAGAACATAGGAGAAAGAGAACAGATACTGTGTAGCAAGTGTTTTCCATCAAGAGAGGAGAGGAATATTTAAATATTAAAGCAAGCACAATCACAGACAATTCTGCTTGTGGGAACATCCATTTGCTTTCCCTATTGATTGAACAGAAGATTCCCATTCTCAAAACTCTGATCTCTTTTAAAAAACACTGTAGGAAACGCAGTAGGGAAGAGACGTTATTTGGTGAAATCAGGCAATTTTCTTTTATTATTTGAGTTTGCTTTAAATCATTGGCTTTTAATTTTGAAGATTTAGATAAGTTTGCTGGGCTCTAGCAAGTTACTATATAAAAACAGAGCTAAGTAGGATAGTCTATGCAACCATTTTAGGTAATACTTACCAGTTTGTCATTAGAACTCATGCCCCTCACACATACACACAGAAACACAAAAATGCACACACACTCACCCTTTAAACTTTAAGAATACCTTTCACTTTCCCCAAACATTCCATGTATGCTCACTATGTTTGACATCCCATATCCTTGCCATTATTAAACTCATCTTAAGGCCTCTGTGCCTCCTACAGTGGCAATTACACTAAATTAAGCCATAATAATGGCAATGCATACATTTTAAATATCTTCCACGAACAATATTTTCATTTCTAATTTCCAAACTAAAGCAATGTATTTAGCTAGGTAATAGGTGATGACTGTATTCTTTCAGGGAGAGCAGAGAATGAGTAGGGTGTTTTGATATTCTTTTAATAACATGTCTGCTTATTTCATAGGTATTTAGTCCTGTCCTATAGCCAGAATGGCCTTAGACAGAATGGCCTTTTTAGATGATTAATCTAAAAGGCTGTGGTAGGCATCATTACATAACAGTATAAAAATTGGATCTCATAAGGAGAAATATTATTATAATATCCTAAGTCCAAGACCTGAAAGAATTTGAAACATGGAGGAAGGATTGTGGAGGAATGTATAAAATACAAAAACATATAGAAATGGAGGAGGTTTCTCTGGTAATCTAGGTCATTGGTTCTGAATATTGGCTGAAATTATCAGAATTACCCAAAGAATGTATCAGAAATACTAATTCCCAAGTCTCAAGCCCTAAAGATTTGGTTGGTTAGAGCTGAAAATAAGTGTTTTTAGTCATATCCCTGGCAATTTCCTGCAGTCCCTTTCACACAAGTCCTTGGACCATAATTTGGAATTCACTGACCTAGAAGAAGGCAGATCGATGAA